AGCCCGGTTTTAGTGGCCTTACGGAAGGCCGAGAGAGTGGGAGAGGATCTGGATCTCTATGGGTAGATCGTTCCACAGGGCCGGAGCAACTACAGAAAAGGCCCTCCTCCAAGGGGCCACCAGCCGGCATTGTCCGGTCGACGGCACCCGGAGAAGCCCCAACCTGTGAGATCTTATCGGCTGTTGGGAGGTATGTGGCAGGAGGCGGTCTCTCAGATATCCAGGTCCTAGGCCATGTAGGGCTTTAAAGGTGATGACCAGCACTAAATATGCACTAAATCAATGAAATTGTCCCTTGAAGGAAAAGAAACTCCTGATATGTAAAGCCAATTAATTCTGCTTTTCCTTTTAACGGTGTCGATGAATTCAGCAGGTGTTCTTTTTTTATATAAAATTCACAAATGGGCAATACGCCACGTCCTTTCGACAGGGGCTGTTGTTGTGCTGCCTACATAAAATAATTGGAGGTGCTCTCGGGATCATGGATCATGGTGGAAGCAGGGACCAGGGGCTCCTCTCCCTCCAGCTGCAGGCTCCCCGAGGAGAGGTGAATCCGCACCCGGGGTCTTTTGAGAACCCGCCCGTAGAGGGCATAGTAGTCCGGGAGGAGGTCCGAATCGGAGTCGCTGGATTCGGTCCCGCTGCCCGCGTAGCGCTCTGCGCTCCGCTGGACTTGGGGAGTTTCTGGGAAGGGCGGCTGGGTGAGCAGGCATTGCAAGAGGTCAATCTTCCTGCTGGTCAAGACGGGGCAGGGTCCGAGGGGGCGGAACTCGGAGCCGCAAGGGAATCTGGTGGCTTTGACGTCCGACTGGCTCAAAGATCTTTTGGGGGTCTCCGGAACACCGTAGCCGAAGACGTTATCCTCTTCCTCCATGCTAAGGTGGGTGACATAGGGTGCCCGGGGTAGGGCCAGAGGCTCCATCGACTTGGGGTGGGCTGCAGCTGGGTTCCTTTGTGGCTTCAAGGGTGCCTCGCAGGGGTTGACCTCCACAACTCTTTCCTCGGCCCGGTCAACGGTGGGGCTTTTGGGGTACTGAGGTGGCCGATCCACGTAGAAGAAAACGGGAGGAGAAGCCACCTCCAAGGGCTGATGGGAGGCTGCCACGTAGGGGACATCGGTGTACGTGAGCTGCTGCCTTGGGCTCCTGTCTCTCGCGTCGCTCAGGGAAGGGCGCTTGCTGGCGCCATCCAGCTTGGAGCTGGGCTGGAAAGAGGTCAGGGGGCTCCTCGGCTCGTAGAGACTGGCCGCTTCCCAATCGTGGTCCAGCTCCGTGTAGACCATGGGGAAGGCGGAGCTGCTTTGGGAATGGAGCAGCAGCAACCTGGGGTCGGCTTCTGGTTTTGACCGCTCCAGTTCATCGGCAAAGATGACCTCCACCGCCGAGTTCCTCCGTCGATTGTCTAGGGTGGGCTCAGAAGCGTGGATGCCGTTGGCGCCGTAGTAGCCCCCCATGGTGCCGTAGACAAGCCGCAGGTCTTCCATCTGTGGGGAAAGCGAGGCATCAATGCTGAAGCTAAGATGCAAGGTTTAGGCAGCCTACTGTGAAATCCCCATTCCCTTCCAACCCCACTCCAGGGGAAGGATACTGTGAAATCCCCACTCCCTTCCCACCTCACTCCAGGGGAAGGATACTGTGAAATCCGCATTCCCTTCCAACCCCACTCCAGGGGAAGGATACTGTGAAATCCCCACTCCCTTCCCACCTCACTCCAGGGGAAGGATACTGTGAAATCCGCATTCCCTTCCAACCCCACTCCAGGGGAAGGATACTGTGAAATCCGCATTCCCTTCCCACCTCACTCCAGGGGAAGGATACTGCAAAAGCCGCATTCCCTCCCCACTCCAGGGGAAGGATACTGTGAAATCCATATTCCCTTCCCACCTCACTCCAGGGGAAGGATACTGTGAAATCCGCATTCCCTTCCCACCTCACTCCAGGGGAAGGATACTGTAAAAGCCGCATTCCCTCCCCACTCCAGGGGAAGGATACTGTGAAATCCATATTCCCTTCCCACCTCACTCCAGGGGAAGGATACTGTGAAAGCCGCATTCCCTCCCCACTCCAGGGGAAGGATACTGTGAAATCCATATTCCCTTCCCACC